ATTTCGACTTTCAAGTCCTAATAAATCTTTAAAAATAATTTCTTTTTAGCATTGTAATAAAAACTACTAAGTTACTTGAAATTCGATAGCAAGCCGATTCTAAGTTACCATAAAAGTTAATAATTAATTATATTATAAAAATTTTACAAATTAGAATAACAACAAACCTAACAGTAACATATTATATTCAATATATTCTTTGCTAATTCAATAAAACAACAAAATTGTTTTCAATTTTACTATATTTTACAATTTGACTACGTGAAGAGCTCGAGTTTTTCCAGCAGATGTGTTCGTATTGAAGGCACGGCGAGCAGTGGCGTACGCCTCAGTCTCCGTCAATTTGTGTTGAATAACTCCGACAGCGTCCTCTTCTCTTTCGCGTGTTCTTTTAATATAGAATAAGGGTAATAAACGAGCACATAATCCACCTGGTGGTAAGCGGATGCTATGGAAGCATAGAAATTTACATATATCCTTAATTGAGAATCAAAATGGAGATGCTTTGTCACCACTAAGGACTAAGATGGAGTACCCCGTTTCCAGTAAAAGGGTCTTCGGTTCTCTACACTCACCTTACGAAACATAGCAGCATTAATCTGCTATTTTACGCTGGTATTTTGTGAGAGCGTGGTACTTCGCCGGTTGCGCGACTCATTCATGCTACAACCATGATATAGCCACAGCGTGGCTCTTTCAAGTTAGAACGTGTGTGTTATTTATTAGCTAAATATAAAATTAACTTCCCTAGTCATTGACTAAGTGAAGGAAAGTTGAATATCTAAAGCTGAGACTGTAGGATTTGTAAATAATACTACTGTTAACTACCTCTCCTACTAGACGAAGAACAGCTTGTTATGAAAACTAAAAAAGCAATAATGCTTAAATTTACTACATACGATCGCTGTATTAACATAAAAATAAGAGCGGATATTAGCAGGAAATTGCGCTTCCAGCGAGGATGAGATATCGGAAGATATTTTATAGCAGAGTGCGTTACAAATGTTTACGAGTAAGTCTTTGGTAAGTATGAAGATAGTTTCATATTAAATTACATAATATTTAAAACATCTGAAAAACATATATACCAATGAAATTTAAAAAAGAAAGAAAAAGAAAATACATAATCTTGATTAAGAAATTAACTATTTAAGATATCTAGAACTATGTTAAATACATTTGGTCCAAACATCCTGACCGGTACCAAATATTACCAATTATGTACTAAAATTTGATATTGTTCAAACATATAATTTCTCTTATGGTCCAGAGGTTCTCATGCTTGTTGCTTTTTCGGTTATAGAGTTATGAATGAGTTCTTGATGACATTTTTGACCTTTCGTCTAGATAAAAATTTAGTAAAGAAAATTATAATACTATTTTGGCATTTTCTAAGAAAAATAATTCTGATATAACACGGGAATATAAAATAATAGCCTCCAATTCTCCATTGTTCATCCATTTCTGCAAAAAAAAAACTGCGCTTGCAAACTCGTCTGCTAAGCGAGGCAACTATGGCAAATATTAATTTACTTGTTCCGTATAAGATTCATACCCGTGGCTATCAGTGCAGCGACTCAAGCTACTCACAATTTTATACGTGGTAGAGCCATGCTGCAGATATATTATAGTTGTTGCACGAATTGCTTTGGCTTGACAGGAGAAGGAACACGCTCTTACAGAATACCAACGTAAAATATGATTTTATTGCAGCTGTGTTTCGTATGGCGGGTATAGAGAACCGACAACCCTTTTTACTATAAACGAGGCATTCCATCTTAGTCCTCTAGGGTGACAACGCATTTGCATTTTGATTCTTAATCGAGGATAGGTGTAGATGTCTATGGACAACAGCATTCACTTAGCATCAGGTGGACTATATGATCGTTTTCAACCTTATTTTGTAAAAAAATTCAAAACAGAGAATGAGACTGGGGCGATTATTATGTTCATAACTACACCGATATCAAGATACACATGCAGATATCAAGAATTAAGCATACAATATTATCTCTCAATAGAAGTTTGTTAAAACGCACCTTGAAGAGGTTCCTGTTATACGCACTCGGAAAAACAAATGCCGGCAGGGAATTATAAATATTTATTTTTTAAATTTTGCTCTTCAGTAATCCCGCAGCACGAACAAAGCGAGCAAATGAAACGGTCGCGTGACTGTTCCGGTAACCGGCGCGCGCTCGGAAGCGTGCAGATAGTGCGATGGGATGGAGTGTGGATTTTATTCAGGCGCTGTAAAGGTTAAACAATATACTTTTCTATGCTTGGTGTATGCCGACTAACTTTAAAATATTTTAGCGCAAATTATTTCAAATATTTAAATATTTTCAAATAATTTAGCGCTTGTTAGAAATATTTTCATAAATTGTTTTAATAAAAGGAATATTCCTCAATTATCAATATTAACTCAAATATCGTCTATGAATGATGTACGTTATAAAATATTAATACACCACTGTTAAAGAAATACAAAATTAAACCATAACACCAAATATGCAAACCAAAAGCAACACTTACTTATTTCTAGGTGACTAGTACTTCTTCTTTGCCCAACGTACACTGCTGCTACTGGTTAGTTACATTTATTTAATAGGATACTGGTAGCCAACAGCGAGGCATTTTGGTGTCAATACAAAGACTTTTAAAAACTGAAAGTAATGCTTTAATACTGGAAAAGTCCATAAGTGACAAACGAGCACACTGTCAACCTGATGTTAAGTGGATACTATGGCCCATAGACATCTACATCTTAGTTCGATTAACAATCATAATTCAGCTAACTTGTCACTCTGAGGACTAAAATGGAATGAATCGTTTCTAGTAGAAAAGGGTCTCCGATTCTATACACTCACATCACATACGAAACACAGCAGCATCAAGCTGCTATTTTACCCTGGAGAGCGTGGTTCTCCTACATAAGGCCACCCCTTCATGCTACAATATACTGGCGGAGTGGCTCTACCACGTATAAAATATGTCACCATATATCGGAACTCATGAGATATTTCGGCATCTTCCTATATTCGTGCGTGCTCACTTGTCACCCTTACTGGCTTTACAAATAAATCTTTTGTACTGATTTATAAAAACCAATTAATTATTTTTGCATGTCTTAAATTTCGAAGTCTGCAACTTTGATCCAGTCACCTCACTAACTTTGCAATGAATTACAATAGAAGCAAATAGAATCGATTTCGAAACGAGTTGCAATATGCACATCTGCTGTAATTTGTTAACAAGTTAAGTTAAAATTGTTTAGTTTGGATTTACATTGAAACTCCTGAACACTAGCTGAGCATGTAGGAACAAAGCTACAATGTTTCAATTCATCATCATCGTTCGTCATCTTCGTCGTCAAAAAAAAATGGTTTCAGTATGAGATAAAAGCATTTTAACCGACATCATAAAGGAGGAGATACTCAATTCGACTGTAAGTTTTTTTAATGTGTGTTACCTCATAACTTTTTTCTTCGTGAACCGAGTTCAATGATTCTTTTATATTTGAAAACTGGTACTTATCATGTAGCCCTTATAAATTTGATCAAGGTCTGATTTGTAGTTTTTGATTTATCCTTAATAATTTATTTTTAAGTCGGTTGTACAAGACCATTATTTGTAGATTAATTCAAGGAAAGTTAGAATTACCCTTTTCAGAGCTTTCTGGACGTCATTTTATACGTGCAGCCTGTGGGCTACATATACTCAAAAAGCTTACGATGCCCACCGAGTATAATTCAAAAAAGTGTTTAGGTTGCTGTTAGGGTTGCCTCGGTTCTATAGTGCATCAGTGAAGTTCACGGAAGCGCGAGAGGACTGCATTTACGCGACTATGCGCAAGAGCATAGTCAATTGCCAGACAGAGCCAACTGTCGAAGCTGAAGACCGAGTATGGCAGCGTTGTTTCTGGGACACCTGAAATTTTGGGTGAGGTTGAGAGGTTCTATGGGCATCTGTACACATCATCGTTGGAGCCACGTGCAAATGTGAGTAACGATCCAAGAGCAAGTCTGAGATACTATTCCGATGATATTCCGGACGTCAGTCTGAGCGAGATTAGAATGGCTCTCCAGCACCTTAAAAACGGCAAGACCCCAGGCTAGGATGAAATAACAGCGGAGCTTCTGAAAGTGAGTGGAAAACCGGTACTTAAAGTCCTTCAGAAGTTCTATATCTTGCTCCTATCGGAGCAACTATAGCGTCCTGAAAATGTTTGCGAGCAGACTGGACTGTTAATACATTTGTGCCATTGTTGTGCCATGTCGGGTGGAATATGAGGAAATGACACAAATAAACGCAATATTATTTTCAATATATTGTAATAAGTAATATTATTAACAAAATTTAAGTCGTAGTTACTTAGATAAATTAATTCTTCCATTTCTTCTTCTATAAAATGTGTGTGCTTAATAAACTTAATTTCTTTCTTTGTTTCGTTCTTCTTTCCATTTAATATCAGTGTTCCCAACATTTAGTGTATTTAATAAGAGTATGCTCTATTTTTATTAAGTTTTTTAAGTTTTTAATATTTCTGAAGAAATCATTAATATTCGTATCCTGTGAGAGCGTGGTCCTTCTCCGGTCGAGCCAACCCATTCGTGCTACAACTATACTATTAATATAGCTGCAGCATGACTCTGCCACGTATAAAATTTGACACTTTTTTTATTTAATTTTTATATGATTAAGGATGACAAGTGAGGACACAGTCCAATCTACGTCTATCTTTGATTAAGAATTAAAATGCAGGTACGTTGTCACCCTTGAGGTCTAAAATGGAATGCCTCGTTTCCAATAGAAAGTGTCTCCGGTCCTCTACACTCATCATATGAAATACAGTAACATTGAGCTGCTATTTTACACTGGTATTCTGTGAGAGCATTATACTTCCAGACTAGAAGACAAACTCGTATTACAACCATAATATAGCTGTAGAATGACTCTAGCAACATTTGCTTGATATTCTCCAAGCTGGGGAATCACTCCACCTAGATTTTTTGACCTTTGACGCTGTTTTTTTTTGTTTAACAAAACTTTTTAACTAGGAATCAAGTCATTCCTCTTCATAACTCATGAAATTAGGACCGGTTGTCGTTAAAATAAAACAGACATTATTTTACGAATTTAGCTTGATGCAAAGATCTGAAAGTATCAATTTAAGTCGAGACAAATCACCAGAATCGAGATATCGCGGATAAAATCAATAAAAAGTCCGCTTTTGGGTGGTTTAACTTTATAATAATAATAATAATAAAATTTATTTCGGTAAAAAGATTTGGTTTACAATCATTAGTGGCCGGAGTCTCCTTTTAAGCAAATAATGCCTGTATCAGGTGACTCCGCTCTTCCATATCTATATCTATATATTATATTATATACTTATTAAATATGTATTACAAAGAATAACTTACAGGCTAAAAGACAGTATTTACAGTATTTTTCTCTGTTTATAATATTTGTACAGGCATGCGTGCGCGTGCGTGCGTGTGTTCGTGCGTTCGTGTGTGTGTGTGTGTGTGTGTGTGTGTGTGTGTGTGTGTGTGTGTGTGTGTGTGTGTGTGTGTGTGTGTGTGTGTGTGTGTGTGTATTTGCTTGTGTGTGTGCACTATTTTACTGAATGTAAAACCAACTCCGTGTTCTCATAATTGAGTGACTCTAACCAATGATGTACCACCTTTTTACATTCGATATATTGTTTCGAGTAAATATCTAGTTCTTTATTGATTTTATTATAAATTTGAGCCGAACGACTATTGTATTGAGTACTAGCAAACATAGTTTTAGATTGGGGCACTGTAGCTACATTATTTTTTCTTCTATTTCCTTTTTTACTTCGATCGTAGGGTATATTTTTGTGTTTATGTAGTGTGATCTGTTTTATACACAGCTTCCTTACCGAAAGTAACCCACTATCGAGATATAGCCTTTCCGTGGGGTATCTAATATTTTTAAAGTACATAAATTTAATAAGCGCACGTTGTGCTCTCTCAACCTCTATAATCTTGGTTTTCGCCGCACCTCCCCAAACAGGAATGCAATATCCCAAGACAGATTGAACCAAGGCGATGTATATCTCATTCAATATATTCCTTGATGTTTCTCGGTCATAATTTTTTTTATTATTACCTGGAACCACATGTCTTAATGATCGAAAGACCCAAATCAACTTTCTAACTCTTCCGGCAACTTGCTCAAGCTATGGGTACCAGGACAGTCTCTGATCCAATATGACGCCCAGGTACTTAGTATGGGTAACTTTATTAATGATCGGGCAGTTGCAGTTTTCATCCTCGGTGCTACTACAATCATGAACCCTTATGCTAAATCTGTCAGTGGGCTGATTTTTATTGTAGATACTAAAACATATATAGTTTGTTTTATTTGTGTTTAGCGAGAGCAAGTTGCATTTTAGCCAAGTAGCTATTTGGGCCATTCCTTTTTCGTCACAATTTTTCACAGCTTGCCAGGAGTTTCCAGTAAAGACGACTGCTGTATCATCTGCATACGAGAATATTTTTGCGTTATTCATTTTTAGGCTACAAAGGTCGTTGATATATACAAGAAATAAAGTATGGCCCAATACACTTCCTTGTGGGACTCCGTATGCTACTTCTGCATCTTCACTGTAGTACTGTTCCAATTTGACTCTTTGTTTCCTATTAATGAGGTAGCTTTTATAAAGACTTAATGGTGTTCCTCTTATACCAACCTTTTCCAGCTTATTCACAAGGATAGGGACAGAGACGGTGTCAAAGGCTTTTTTGATATCAAGAAACACCGTTAAACATTTTTTTTTATCAATTTCTTCAATTATTAGTGAGCTTAGGGAAGTTACAGCATCTTCTGTGGATTTACCCGTTCTAAATCCATATTGCGAAGAAGACAAAGTATTGTATTTATTTATAAATTTTACTAATCTAGTATTCATAAGCTTTTCCAAAATTTTTGATATGCTAGGTAAAATAGATATAGGCCTATAATTATTCACTTCCATCCTATCCCCACCCTTGTGTACTGGTATAATAATAGATTGTTTTAACAGGGCAGGGAATACCCCTTTATTAAAACAAAGGTTGGCAAGGTGAGTTATAATAGGAACGACTTCATTTCTTACAAATTTTAAATACTTTGTTGAGATCATATCCCAACCCTTTTTGGATGGATAAAATCTTATGAGTTCGCGTCAACGACATGCTGTATTAACAGTTTTACTTTTTAAACATAACGAAACTATTGATAGTATAACTATCGTAAATATTGTTGAAATTAATAAAAATAATAAAATAAAAATAACATTGAAAACAGAAGTTCATTGAAATTAATGTTAAAACAAATACAAACATACATAGTATGAATAATATAAAGGACCATGGGCAAAAATGTATGAAGCCTGGGCTCACCCACCAACAGAGATGAGATCACTTTGAATATACTTGTACTGCAATAAATATAAATATCTAAACTCATTTATGTGAAGAATCGATGGGGTTATTTGTCTATAAATATTTTTTATCCTACCATAAATAAGCTATAATCCTGCATAGTAATGCTGTTATTACATTGTAGTTTTTGTTGTTTGACTTCTTATACCAGTTTAAATTCCAGGTGCAAAAAGTATAATTATAAAAAAATGAAACAGCTGTTATCAGTTAAAAATATTTTTATTTTTAACTAATAACAGTTGTTTATCAGTTAAAAACATTTCAATCAATATCAATAATAATGTCGTTTAGATGACCTGCCGGTGGTTTAAATTGTATGCGCCTAACCCTAGATACCATATTATTGAAACGGTATACTCGTATGCACAACTTTCTACTGTGCGCCTACCTGTTAGACACGAGCAGTAATATTGAGCGATAGCATCTGGACCTATTTAATTTCTCTTGACTAGAATATACGTAATGTATACGAACATGTCTTGATTGTAATCTTCCTCTTGATGGCCACACATTTTGGTGTTGGATATTGCATGCTGCTAAATCATGTAATTCATTTTTACGATAGATTTCTATCGTATATAAACCATTGCGTAAATGTTCGCTGCAATATGACTTATCAAGACGCAAGGGATATAGAGATATAGTAAGGTATAGTACCAAATGTCTTTTTCTACAAAACCTATTTAGGTGCATATCTTTTTTCTGAAATGGAATTGAAGGTGGTGCCGATAGTAACAATTTAAGAACGAACAAAATCCTTTACAATGGCATATGCAATAACTCTGTTGGACACTGAGCCCAATTTGTCGCATGGTCCTTTATATAAATTATCATGTCAATTAAGTTGGAATTATATTTTGTATTGGCTTGCTCAGTACATTATTTTATGATTTATTATTCATTATACCATATGTAAAAATTTAAACAGGATTATTTTTCAAACAATAGCCAAATTTCAAACTTAAGTGAAAATATACAAATAATGATGTACTGTTCTTGCAGTTTTTGAAAATACGACTAAATAAGACTTCAAGATTTATAAGAAATAATCCCTATATATAATAATTATCCCAATATATATTTATTTTATTTGAGCGTGGTCTTTCTCTGCTCGAGTCGACCCATCCATGTTCCAATTATAAAATAATTACAACATGACTCTACCACGTGTATTATCAGTTTTATTTACATCATTTTTTTGCCTAAAATAAGGCCGTTTCCACAAAATAAAACTATGGACGACTTTCAGATTTTAATGTGTTGTAATTGACCTCGTAATTGTTCATTAGGAAGTTGTCTCGACAGTTGATATTTTAGAATTTTTGTCAGGATGACATTTTTGTATTTTTTTAGAAGTAAAGGCTAACATGCACATAGTTTATTTGACGATAAGAAGATGCTTATAGACGTATGCTTGTAGATGCTTACATATATATCGATTTTCAACTAAGAATCAGAATGCAAGGAATAAATTACTGTGGACTATTTTATAGGATAAGGGTGACAATTGTGCACACAGTCCACCTGATGGTAAGTTAATGCTGTGGCCCATAGACATCTACACCTATTCTCGAGAATCAAAGAACATTCCGTCTTAATCCTCAGCGGTAACAACGCATCTGTACTCGCCAGACTTGTCAAATTTGCGGGTGTTACCGCCTCAACGGTGGTTACGAATCCACACAAAACTCATGAGTTTTGAAATATAAAGCAGTACCACAATCGCTGCGAGCGCGGGTTAAATCGCTCCATGTGTTCTAAGCATTATAATTCACACATGTGGGGAAATATTTAAAATATAATTACTGGCACCTACATGGCGAAACGTTTAGCAGTAGTAGGTAGTAAAAAGTGTTGTAGTTACCAAATTATTCACACGCGATATTCAAATATTTGTATACTCTATGAATATAGTATATCATCTTTGATAAATAAAGTTTATATAAGATTTGATACCATAATTAGTTAATGCTATAAAAATGGAAAGATATAATACTAGAAAGAGGTCTGATAAAAAATGGATGGTCTGTGTTAGGATCGATATATGTAAGAAAGGAGTGGGTGAAGAAATGATGACTAATCGAGGTGTTGGAGCAAGTTAGCACCCTGACAAGCAACAAGGCTTTCTTCTTTCGTATAACGGGCGTAGCAATTCTTTATGCACTGTAAATTAGGCTAGTCATAACAACATATCATAGAATACTTATCTTCACGCACAATCCCTGACGGGGTAGCCAGAGAGAACAGATCGCCAAGTGTTACGATCCTTACATACCTCTTTCGCTTCTTTCAGATTCATTATCTTCTTCATACATGCATGTCTAGGTATCCGAGTACTCTTGACCCTCCCCTCTTCGAGCAATTTGCTCATATGGTCTTCGAAAGTTAGTCTCGGTCTACCTCGACACCTTTTAATATATACTTTCTCGCTATATATTTTCTTCACCATTCGGTCTTCACTCATTCGCTCAACGTGCCCAAACCATCGAAGCACGCCCTTATCAATTTTTGTGATAAGGTCATTTTTCAAACCTGCCATATTGCGATATAATAGAATACCAGCGTAAAATAGCAGCTCAATGCTGCTGT